CATCGCCCATTTCTCACGTAGTCATTCCACCGAGCCACGGGAGATTGCAAGCAGTCTCCAATGTTGAGAAGCCAGGTTTTAAACCTTGAGAAAGGGTTAGGGTTTCACCCCGGTAGGGGTTTGAACTCACACCTTTAGTGGAGTGTACGAGGCCTAACCACTGGGCCACGGAAGCTCGAGAGAGAGAGAGAGTTAGGGATATCTAGGTTGTTTCTTCGAAAGTAGCCACAAAATTACTCCGACACTCCCTGTAGTAACGACGATATCGAATACGATAGTCCAGATATTTTCGCCGGATTTTGCACCTGCATGCTGAATAACATACAGCTGTAACTATTTTTAGGTGATCAATAACAGGATCCTTGTTGACCTAGCGAGGGTGAACGAGGAGATGTCACAGAAAGACAGGGCGCTGCATCGTGAGAGGATGCTGCTGATGCAGGAGAAGGTGAGGCAGGCTCTCGGAGAAGCGGCCGCACAAGAGATCGACATTGGTACGTTGGAATAAAGCCTTTAGGGGTCACCTTCGTCTACGCCAAAAGCTTAGCTTATGTCTAACATAGATGTCATTAAGTATCGTCATAATGCGTTTTAAAATAAAATCAGCAGATCTGATGTACATGTATGAAGCTGCGAGTTTGATATGATATATAATTTATAATGTAACATGCATTGTGTGTGCGTGCGTGCGTACGTGTGTGTAATTTCATCGAGGCAATCACTGTTTCACAGTTAAATGAATGCCATGCAGCTTGTTTAATTAGCATACGGTTACTGAAATCGACTTGCGCAGATTGAGTAGTGACTGGAGTGCACTTAAGTAGTTGTGTGTAATCACTGCAGAGAGCCTATCCAATCCTAATCAGGAAGTGGAGCTGCGTGAGCCGGAGGTAGAGTATGCAGAAGCTGACCGAGTCTCCATCTGCAGTAACATGGCCGACGGTGAACAGCCAGATCTACAGGTATGCAGATAAGATCGACCAAAACAGATATACAAACAGATTACCCTAATTACAGTCCAATTTCTTTGAATAGCAGGTAAAAAATGTTCCATTTCTGTGCCAAACAGGCTGAAGTTACGGAGGAAACCGATGGAGAGCAACTGCCTACTCCAGCAGTTCCTTCACAAGCAGATTTGTTTGGTATGCGATACGAAATATACTGTTTATGTGTCTATGCATACAGTCAAACCTCAGTTATCCGAACATCAATTGTCAGAATTTCGGATTATCCGAACAAGACCACCGTCGTCTCGTAGCGTAGTGGATGGGGGGGGGATGTGAGTATGAGAGGGGGTCCTTTTAAAAAAAATTTGGCCGTGCAGTTTCAAAACTGACTGACCGTGCAAATCACGGCTCCACGGCTCGCTGGCTAATACGTTGTCTTGGGTTATTTTCCCTCACACTCATATTCGGCACTACTAGAAATCCTTGGGCCGTTGACGTCCTCACTAGATCAGACCAAAAAAATTTCACCTTGGTCAACTAGGTAACATTGAAAACCTGAAGAAGCAGCATGAAGAGGAGCTGGCAGCGTTCCAGCAAGCACAGCAGGAGAACAGGGTGCGCATGCAGGCTGGCCTCCAGGAGAAGCTGAATGCTCGTCGCAGACGCCGCATACAGATGGAGGCACAGGAGGCAGAACAAGTGGCGCTCTCTCGGGAAGGTCAACGCTGAAACGATTCCTACCCAGAACGAAGCCGAATGAAATATTGTTTCCCGTTACAGATGAGGAATTAAATTTGATGTACTTGGTTACAAGATGATCGGTTTTGGACCAAGCAACCTCATTATAGCGAATAGCAGTTTCTTAATCCTTTAACCACTACTATTTTTCATCAAATTTGTGATATCTCGACAATGCGGTTTTTAGAAGTTGATTTACATCATGAAGCCAATGCAATTCGTAACTGGTTATGCAACAGTTCCTTACCTGTATACGTTTCTGATTTGTGTGAATTGCCAGGGTTCTGCCCACGGTGGGCGGCGGTGGGCGGGTGTGCCCGGCACCAATTTTTGATATAAAAAAAAAGTCAGATATATGGGCTTTTTAGCTCATCTGACATAGTCAGATGCAGCTTGTAGAATCGCTTGATCGTCCGTCCGTCCGTCAACAGTTGCGGCACAAATCTTAACGCGCTCGACGTACTGGTCACGATATTCGGCACATTGGGGCTATCCGTACAAAACGAGTTGGGTGTCTGAAGCTGGGCGGCTCAAGAGGTCGAAAGGTCAAAGAGGTGTAAAAGAAAGCGGGGAACATTCACTCCTTAAGCTTAAAAGTAAGGAGGAAGTGCCGCAGAATTGCGCGCACAAATCTAAATGGCTCGACCTAGGGCTGCTGCATAGTTGTGTGTTATAGCATCATGGTAGCGAAAAGCCATCACTGTGCGAATTGGCAGGTCAGCAGGTCAAAAGGTCAATTCGGCACAGGGCAGATTTTAGACATTTTCTCGAGGATCATGGTCTTGACGCGAGCATTGAAAAACTTTTTGTTTCAGCGTTACCATAGCATTTTTATGGGATTATTGAATAGGCCATGAAATCTACTTTTTGCTGCATGCCGAAGAGTAAGTGTCAAGATACACCTTTATGACCGCTCAAGAGAGAGGGCTTAAACTACTGGATTTGTTGACTGCTCTGTTAGAAAGAATTTGACTGCGGGTTTGCCTACGTAGAGAATCTATACATGCTGGCATGTATGAGGCTACAATGTCACAGTGAAATTTCAAAGCTAAATTTGCCTTAAAGAAGGTGTATGCTTCCTTAAAATCGTATCAATTTCTATGGCATTTTGTAGCTGTCAGGTATTGTCTTACATGTAACGTATGCCACTGCAAGTGGCTGCTGGCCAGTGCATGTGTTGTGCAGTTTTCCTGCGCTTAATTGCGTTTACAGTGGCAGCTCTCTGATTGCAATTTCAGCCTGTAGGCTTCCGTAGGTAAATTGGCATGAGTGCTTACCTATTTGCTCTTGGCAAATATTGTTGCCTACTACGTACGATGAAGAGCTCCATCTTTAATCTGAAGACACTTAAACGTATGCGCCATCTCGTGCGCAACTTTCATAACGATCCAACGAACATTCCTTTGAGAAGGTCCTGATACCACCTAGCTGCATTCCACTGTTCGGCGTGTCTGTGAACACATATTGGACTAACTAGGGTTTACCTAGAATCCCACCACTCCACCACAGAGTCACCGCAGTAGACGTTAGATGAGCGCTGTCGCTCCGCGGCACTTGTTATTGCTCAGAATGCAGGAAATTGAGTTTCAGACTATCCAAAATCAAAAGTTTCCCCTAGATTGGCTTCGCGCCTACGGCACTTGCATCTACTGGATGCACCCGGCACAAAAAAATCCTGGGCAGAACCCTGAATTGCAGCACATATATTTAATAACAATGTTACGTTATTTAAACGTAGTTTATGCACGAGTGTTGGTTTCAACACTGATGTGATATTGTACATACGGTTGCCTGCGTTAGTGAGAAATAGATAGATTTTCAAGTTAATTTATGATCATTCTTATTTAATTTAAATCAAATAGATATTCAGAATTGAATAGACAACTGTCATTAATTCATTGCCTATCCTTTTAAGAGCAAACGCGTCAATAATAAAACAGACTAAAGTCAAAGATATGTAATGGCGCTGTCACACCTCTGTATGAAAGCCAGCATATACTGACGTATGAAAAATTTGGTGAATACGCTGGCGTACGTCGAATAAGTTATGGGTAAGCTTTGTATAGGTTAAGAGCACGCTGAAGCACGCTGGTATACGTCGTAGTACGGTGAGGTCGTCAAAAAATTTTGAGCATGCTCAAAATTTCTCGACGTATGCCAGCGTATGCCCATACGTCCCGCATACGCGGGCCATAAGTTGTAGGTAAGTTATGCGATCGTTGGCACACGTTCACACACGTTACTTGTAAGTTACTCATAAGTCGAAATACGTCGAGATAATGTCTAGCGTACCCAAAACTTATTTCTAACCTATGAGTAACGTGCTTTGAACCTATGTGTAACTTATCTCCAACGCATATTGACGTATGTAGACGTATTTGACGTGTTCCGGACGACCACAGCACTTACTGAACGTATTTCTAACTTACAGCTACCGTATAATGGCGTATTGGCAGCGTTTAGGGGAATTGGTATATACAAATGGTATTGGCATGTTGATACTGCGACGGTGATGTTGATACTGCGATGTCTAGTGCGGTTATGATTTGAATCGTTGAGCGGCAGCCTTTTTATAGGCTACGACACATGATCGTCGGCGATACGCTGCCGCGCCTATGCATAAGTTAAACTATCGTTGGGCATAAGTTGTGAACGCCGGCAACACGCTAAGCATTCGTTGGTATAAGTTATCTATAAGTTATTGAAACGTTCTATATACGTTACTAATACGTTAAGTATACGTCCAACTCGTTATGAATACGCTATGTATACGACCAAAATTGAAAAAAAACATCGATAGTTCAGCGTATGCCAGCGTTTTAGCGAAACTTTGATACGTCGGCATACGCTAAATCGTCAAGGTGTGACAGGGACATTAGCGGTCACATTTATAAAACAATAGACACTGCTTTACCTTTGAATGGCAGTTATGCACTGAAACTATCACTATAGAATAGACACTTGTCCGTAAAGGACGCTTGGCATGTTCCTTGAGTGACCCTTTTATTCAGGTTTTGACTGGACACAGACTGAAGAATGGTGATATATAAACCAAGTGGAGTCTGTAAATTGTGTCCTCGTACATATTTGTTGTAGCTATTTATAAAACTTTAGGTAGAATGTACTCCAGTCTACCACTGTGCCATTAGGAATTTAAGAATGAATGTGAAATTTAGATGTGTGTTGGCAATATATTTCTATTCATTGATTGATTGCATAGCAGTGTGGATTAGAAACTGCTAACCTAGATATGCAGTTACATATAATGAATGAGTAGGCAACTCATTTTTTCTTACAGCTCGGCAAGTATAATGAAACGTGATTATGTCAGCTATACTTACATCATCGAATAGTTTCAGTATGTTGATAGGTAGCTATTTTTTCAAAAAATATATACAAATGTCTTTTTAATACATTCGTGTTGTCAGATATAATATACACAATATTGTATTAACACAAGACAGGCCACATATTTGCTACAGATTTTTCACTTGACATTTAAAACAATGACAACACAATAACGCTGTAACCAGTAAACTAAATATATATTAAAAATCTACAGACATATTAAAAAAGTAAAAAGACTAAATTTACAATGCCCATGCTACGCTTGAAATAAAATAATAAAATGTAATATACTAAAAAAATTTATCATTAAACTAACGTTGTCGCAGGGCAATGCCATCGGAATCGCTTGGCATATAATAATAAAACCACATGCATCAGTCGGAAGTATCCTAGCTATCACCTGACCTCGCGCTCAATTTCATCAAACTGCTGCGTGTAAAACTGTGTGACGCAGTCTGTCAGCTGCCAACCATGCGTGTGTAGCTCCAGCATGTGCAGGAGGTGACACCTGGTGGCAGTTGTCGTGTTCTTGGCTAATAGCCGCTCGCGAACTGTCTGCATTAACGCGTCAAGCCGCTTGCCATTGCTCATATACTGTTGCAGTTGCTTTCCCAGTTTCGACAACTAAAAACAACAAAGATATAAACATAATATTATATGTATATATATATATATATATATATATATATATATAGATAGATAGAGAGCGAGAGAGGGCAGTCAGTTAGAAGGACAAAGACGGACAAATGGATCTAGAATATAAGGGTTGAGGTAAATACAAGAATCCAAGATAATCTATTATTCCACAGAACGTGCACATCCACAATGCTATCAATTATAATACTCAAAACTGGCCTAGCCTTCGTACCATCAACTCAACTCAGGTTTTATAGCATTATATTCTTATTCATATTATTATTTATATTATATTCTTGTTCATATTATTATTTATATTATATTCTTATTCATATATTTCTATAGCACTCATCATTATAGCATTGTAAAAAAAAACGTCCCAACACAAAGCAACGATTAAGCCGGACGAAAGCCATTACTACGGTGACCGCTCTTGTTTCACCTGCGCGTCGGCCAGCGCCACCTCGTGGTCGACCGCATCGGCGTCGACCATCAGGTGGAGCCATGTGAGGATGGGCGTGGCGAGAACGGGGGTCGGCGCGCCGGCGACGCGCAGCACAGAGAACACCTCGCAGAGCAACAGGAAGCTGTTCGTGAACAACATGCAGTTCTCCTTGCGCATTGCCTCCTTGCCTGAAAGTACGCGAGAGAGCCCGGTTAGTCAGCTCACCGCTCCGCACCCTCTGGCCTATTCCACGCCTACATCTAACTGTAGTGAAGCAATAATTAAGTGATTAGAATGTGGACGCACGCCGGTCGCAGGGACATAACCTCGGCTGCCAGACTTCACCTTTTCACATGGCCGATCGGCCCAAGCCCCGTCTACGGTGTCCATGGGGCATTTATTCCAGCCCCCGTCAAATTTTGAGATTGCAAAGCTTTTATTACATAATTCATCAGTTTAAAAAAATTAGCCCCGTTGAGTAAATAACGAGGCCTTTTTTTAGGCCCCATGGTTTTCTCAGACAACGAGTCTGGACTGCATTGGGAACATTGACGTAGGTGGAACTGCTTTGGTTTTTCGTGCACCGAATGAAAAAAAAATTGCGAGAGATTACTACACAAAGCACCAACTACCAGTGAAATAGTGAATTATACTGGGAGGTTCCATCTTGTTTTACAGCGATTCTGTTGAAAAATTACAACTTTGAAGTAGTCCCAATTTGGGAAAACTTGTATAGTTATAGTTCCTTATCAGAAATGTAGTGACACAACTAGGCACTAGTGAATAACAAGACGTAAAGAATAGACACGTGTTCACGCACGTGCTACAGTCGATGGAGAGATGAAGAGGAGCGGATTCGTCAGGTTTACCGAAGGCCAGCCGATAGGCATTGCAGTCCATCGATAATACGGCAGGCACTCGAGCGAGTAAAACAATGTTAAATTTCGTCAGCTGTGTTAGGGGACACAAATCCTGACTCCACACATATCAATGTGTCACTGCTCATTTTTATCAAATTGATGAGAATGGTTACAATTCTAGCTGGAAGAAGTAAGTTTTTTAAACAAGTGCCGCAGAGCGACAGCGCTCAACTGACGCGTACTGTATCCGGGTATTCTTCTGATAAACTCACTGGCAACCAAATCAAGTGCGCCCTCCCGCCACCGCGTTCATGCTCAGAGCATATATCTAGCTATTATATCAGCAGATATCATGCTCTAATAGCAAAGGAGCAGTTCAGTCCATTGTTAACAGTCAACAAATTCATGTTTAACCCTCCTCTAGAGAGTCAAAAGGTTATCAGACACTTACTCTTCGCACGTCAGCGGAAAGTACATTTCATGGTCCTTTCAATAAAATGATAAAAATGGTAGGTTAGCACTGAAAAAAAAAGTTTTGCACTCGGTCCGTTAGACCATGTCCTCAGAAAATGTCTGATATCTGACTTTTCCCCCATTGCCCTTTGACCTGTGACCTCCAATTTCACACTGGTGATGGATTTCCTCCCCATCACACTATACATCAAATATTAAGAGCGTAGGTCGAGCGGTTGAGATTTGTGCCGCAATTCCGTATTTCCTCCTATACCTTAAGTTAAGGGGAAAATATTCCCCCTCCATTGACACATCTTGACCTTTGACCCTTGACCCCCAAACTCGACATCCCGAGTCCTTTTCGCTATTCCCGCCCGACGTCCCAAATATCAAGATCGTAAGTCGAGCGGTAAAGATTTGTGCCATAACTGTTGACGGACGGATGCATGGACGCACGGACATTCGCGTGATTCTACAAGCTGCATCTGACTTTGTCAGCTGAGCTAAAAATCATTGAGTACGGGATGAAAATACAGGAGATCTAAAATACTGAAAAATGCCAACAAACATTTAAAGCTATACTAACCTTTAAAATCATGTTGTAATTGTTGTAATAAAATATTCCTAAACTTTACATCGTCAACCTCCAAGCTTCCAAGTGACTGAGACAGAAGAGCAGCTCCTGTGATCATGTCAGCTTCATTAACACAGCTGAAATATCAAGATGTCATTGTCTGTAAGATCCAAGCAGTAGAGAAAAGCCTAAACAGAAAGTGTCGGCAAATGACACGACTTTAGAAATAACACACCAGCACAATACAGCCGAATTTAAAGCGCGGCGTAGATTATTAATGGTGTCACTGAGGTGTAGAGCAATTTTCTCATGATATCATATACCATATATGTTAATTATTTAAACAGCCACGTTTGTAAACAGCGAGCATGCCAATTAGTTGGTTGCTGACCACTGCCTGGGTGACTGACGCACGTAGCGATCAGTGCGTGCATTCGTGCACGTGTCAGCCTAAGTTGTTTGTCGAAGTGCAGTGAAACTAGCCAGACAGTGCACAGCATGTCATTCAATATCTTGCCTTGCAATTTTTATATTACAATCGTATTTGCTAGTCATAAAAGAAATTTTAGAAAACGAAATCATGTTAAAGACACTGCCTAGCATACGTTGACAGGGGCAACACAAATTCTGACAACAGCGACCATCGACAGACGTATTGTGCATTCATAAAAGCACTGATAAAATTGTCTAATTGCCATTTTAGCTAATATACTCTAATATATAATGTGTGTTTGTAGCAAGTATTATCTCTATAGCACCATAACTACCTCCTTACATACCGCTCGTGAAGTGCTGTTGCAAACTCTTTCAGTTTACTGCCTGTGGTAGAATATTTCTTGACAATTTCCACCACTTTGGAAACTTCAGTGTCATCTTTCCTCCCCAAGGCCATGTAGCAAAATTCTGACATAAGTTTTTCTAACGTGTAGCCATCTTCTTTCTGAAAAATCATTTTGTAAAAAAGATCATTTACATATCTAATGTTGACTGACTCCACAACTACGTCACCGTTAGAGTCAAAGACTGATATTACCTTATCCAAAATGCCTGTGGGTAATTTAAATATACAGCTTACCTTTAGAAGGGTCTATGAAAAATTTGCATGCACTTTTTCATCTGTTTTGCAATCAAGTGTGAACTGAAGTCTTAACATTATTATAACTGGTGTAATTCCTACATTTGACAACTACAACGACATGCCATTGCTATTGCCAATACCGTACGTCAATGGGAAAAGTAGAAAATGTCATCTTGATTGGTTTTGTTTTGAGCAGTAAGATAACCTGAACTACATGTCCAACTACACTAATGAGTTACGTGTACATAGCCGGTGTTCATTGAGACAGATATAGCCCGACCACATGTACAGCCTGCAAGCTAACGTAAATGCACAGCCACAGGTCTTAAGCCTAGAGCAGACTTGCGACTTTTGGTTGCTCGTCGCTGCAACCTGCAACCGCATGCAATCGGTCGCACGCTTCACCGTGTGTGCGCATGCAAGCGATTGCTGTTAACAGCAGTCGCTTCTTTCCATTGTCTTTTTGTCTTTCCATGACTTATGTTACCCGCACACATGCGATTTTGAAGCGATTGCGAGCGACGAGTTGCTGAATTTGAACAAGCGATTGCTGTTGCAAGCGATTGCTGAATTTGAACAAGCGACCAGAATCGCTACGACTCGTATGAGTTGCAGTTGCACGTTCCCGCAGACTTGCGACTTTTTCATGCAATGGCTGCGATTCTAGAAATCGGCTGCGATTTCAGCCGAGTTGCATGGAAAAGTCGCAAGTCTGCGCTAGGCTTTAGGAACTGGCTTTCGATGTTGGACTGTAGACTGTAGTGTAGGCCTAGTCTGTAGACTAGTAGGACCGAAAATAAATTAGTACTACTACTACTAGTACTACTACTAGGCCTAGTAGTAGTGCTCATAAGGTCTATGTCCCCCAGGGTACTGCCAGGCTAGGCTTGCTATACCGGTAGTACAGTAATAAAGATACAGCTGTGTAACTTTAATGACTTAGCTATATTAACATGTTATCATGGATATGCGTCGAGCGCGAGCGTAGTGGTGGTGGTAGTGGGGGGAGAGTGGGGGAAGAGGCGGGTGGAGGGGGCTCTAATAGCAAAAGCAGTTGCCGCGAGATGGCGCATGCAAGTGTCATCAATAATCAAAGATGGCATCACCCTTCGTGCGTGATAACCTCACTCCATTGAGTTGCTGAAATCCAAGTATATTCAGGCAGGCGAGAATTTCGCTCAGCTGTGAGTTAACACATCTGCATTGCAGGTTGCCAGGCAATAATTATGATTAGAATAGTGCCAGTTCACCCCCATGCATGCATAATGGGCTGCCCCCATGTTTTTGCCTACCACGCGAGCATTCAGGGTTCATTACAGTGTGCTAATACAGGGTGCTACTCAGGGTGCTAATACAGACTGCTTTAGAAAATAATATGATCTAAGGAGCGTAAACCTTGTTCAACAAACATTTGCCTTTGCAATTGAACTGTGCAACTGTAGTCTCCCATCCACAATAGTAAAAGCAGTTCAGTCCTCTGCTAACAGTCAACAAATCCATGTTTAACCCTCCTCTTAAGGGTCAAAAGGTTATCCGACACTTACTCTTCGCGTGTCAGCAGAAAGTACATTTCATGGTCCTTTCAATAAGACCATAAAAATGCTAGGTCACCACTGAAACAAAAAAGTTGTTCAATCGCTTCGTCAGACCATGTCCTCAGAAAATGTCTAAAATCTGCACTGTGCCCCATTGACCTGTAACCTGTGACCTCCAATTTCGACACAGTGATGGCTTTCCCTACCATGATTCTATACACCGACTATCACGAGCCTAGGTCGAGCCGTTTAGAGTTGTGCCGCAATTCTGCATTTCCTCCCTATACCTTAAGTTAAGGAGGAAACGTTCCCCCTTCTTTTACACCTCTTGACCTTTGACCTTTGACCCCCAGCTTCGACATCCCAACTCGTTTTCGGATTACCCCACCATGTCCCGAATATCGTGCCCGTACGTCAAGCCGTTTAGATTTGTCCCCAACTGTTGACGGACGCACGGACACACAATCATGCGATTCTACAAGCTGCATCGGACTATGTCAGATTAGCTCTAGTACTATACTATAGCCCGCGTACAGTTGCCGCTGGTATAGGTACCAGCGGCAAGTACGCCAGTGGCAACTGCCACAGATACGCCACGTACAGGCCAGTACGCCAGTGGCAACTGTACGCGGGCTAGCCTATAGTACTACTACTGAGTACTAGTACTACTACTAGTACTAGTAGTAGTAGTACTAGAGCTAATGTCAGATGAGCTAAAAATGAATAGTGTAAAACATTATTAAGTAGTAGTAGTGCCTTGATTGTTCCAGGTGCTTTTAATGCTCCTCTCCCTCGGCCTAAGCCTGCTAACCCACGCCCCAGTCCTCTCCCTGCCATATCAACTCAAACCACCGTCAATCAACACAAAAAGTCAAAAACCCATACAAAAGCCACAACAGCCCAACAACAACATGGGTTGCTGAGAAAGTATACGTTAAACTCATGTGGGCGTGTTAAATCGCTGTCAGTCTGGGCGGCATAAAAGAAAATCACTATATACGTTTAACTTAGAAAAGGAATATTACACGAATGTGTATTACCCCCCATACTGTGTTTTTATCTAGTAGGAGAATGTGATAACTGAATGTTCTATACAATTTATAATGGTTTTTATTTAGTTATTGACGACAGACATCGCGCCTCAGTCGCTAGCTCGGGATGACAATTCGTGTAAATGCGCAGCTCTGCGAACCTGAAAAGAAACCCAAGTACTGTAAAGTGATGAGACGTACATAAACGCTGCTATTGTAAGCAATACTATCAAATTTGCTTTATTTCTAATCGGTTCTATTCTTACTTGTTGTCTTACTAAAGTTGCTGTGAATCAACATATGTTACGTCGTATTTTGACTCATGATACTGATAGTTGATACGATGTCGATAACGTAACGTCTGACGGTCTGTATCCACGTACAGGCACTTGTGTTGTGACTTGAAGCGTTTCAATAAAATATAATATTAATAACTAGACAGAGGGCACTGACGGAGAGTGCATACCTCCGCGCGCATGTAACATGTATGTGCTCCCTGGTGGCGGCTGCTGACTGACTCGTCGCTCACTGGTGGCTGCTGCTGACTCGCCACTCGCTGAGTCGACGCGCTATCGATCGCGCGGTGGCTACACACACACACGAGACCGATTACATGACCTCAGTTGATCGGAGGTAATAATGCTAACTAAATACGAAATCTATTTACTACCAAATTCTTAATGTTGCTATACTCTCTTTAACCTATTATTGCCGACAGTTTCCTGTCAAATCGTACGTGCAACAATATACGCTGCCGGCGCCATTGCTCTCGCGGCTCCACTACTACTAATACTAATATATATATGCTAATACTATATATATTAGTGTAAGCGTGCAACAGTGGAGTCGCGAGAGCAATGTCGCCGGCAACGTATATGGTTGCACGTAGGATTTGGACGGAATTGACAGGAAACTGTCGGCAATAATAGGTGAAAGAGAGTATAGAAACATTAAGAATTTGGTAGTTTATAGATTTCGTATTTGGTTAGCATTATATTTTATTGAAACGCTTTAAGTGCCTGTGGTCCGTATCCCCAAAAAACTGACTACAGACTAGGTCTAGACTCTAGTGGGTGTTGCTAGAACACGGGCGTCGAAGGAGGGTGCCGTTACGTGGCAGCACTAGTCACTTTGTACGCTTCAAAGTCCAAATTTTTCACAGAAAGATTCCATAGTCATACTTTCGTGCTAGACATGGCCTTATTTCCCTAACCCTAACCCTAATCCTAACCCTAACCCTAACCCTAATCCTAACCCTAACCCTAACCCTAATCCTAACACAAGTGCAGCCACATCACGTGACCCTCCTTCAACGCCCGTGTTCTAGCAAATCCAGTTTTTTTGTGCTAAAACTGTAAAAAGCGTAACATAGCCCTGTTGCAAAGTGCTGGCTGCGAATCATTCAGATACTTTGCTGTAAAACAATATTAATATATTAAACATCAGCTGGATTGTGGATTTCATAGTTGGGTTACTTATATAATTCACTGTGGCTATATGCCCAGCAGCCGGCACCCTAACCCTAACCCTAACCCTCCTGTTTACTTGAGAAATCACCGAAAATTAAAAACTGCCGGGCATTTAAGAAATCGAAGACCGTGCCCGGCAGCCGTCGGATATTTTTTAAGTGTTGATTGCGAGTTTGTTCGCTCAGTGATCCAAAGCTAGGCGCATTGGTCTAGTTCGAATGTACAGCTCTAACGAAAATCGCTTGACATTTTGAAACAAATGTAGAATACTTTGGATCACGTAGTTCACTGTTTACTTGAGAAATCACTGAAAATTAAAAACTGCCGGGCATTTAGGAAATCGTATATAATTACGTTTTGAGTTTTACCGTTGTATAACTATAAGATCGTGATACTGTCGATTGCTGATACATCAGTACACAACTATATATTATTTTATAGATCATGGGCGCAAACAGCAGCAGTATCAGTGAGTTGAATGGAAATGAGTACTTACGGGGACTGGCCGGACCTGATACGATCAGTGACAATGATCCGTTTTGGAATCAGTTGTTGTCGTTTTCCTTCGTGCCTCCTCAAAGCAGGTATGTAGTACATGGTAAAATACACAGGCTAGACCGCTAGGGGCTTATTTAAAGGGTGATGTCTATACGTTTATGACAACGTGCATGAAAATTCATGGTTCCAGTACATGCAGATCATGAATCTTTTCATGTGTGAATTGCATTAATACTATAATAAATTATATTGATTATTTACATGTATTAAAATGCATTATGGCTACGTGACTATTGCGGCAAGTATACAGTATATGAGTTTCGTGTTCTTCAGTTCTGATTATAGACTACTAGAGGAAGCTACCCATAATATTTGCAAGGCAATGGCACACAACAACATCAACAGTGGTAACTTTGGTGCACTTGTGTCTGTATTCTTGAAAAGAGCAGCAGAGCTGAAAACCTCTACACAGTGTGAAAAGTGAGTGCTGAACACTACAAACTTTTGATCGCCTGCATGATTTGCTGAACTATTCAGAATTGTTTTAAATATGGGTACAAAATGCAGTGCTGTACTAAATATGTACAAATCTATATGACCCCTAGATGACAGTGCTAACATATAATTATTCATTCATATCTCAAGGTGTTCACGTCCTGATAGAAAACCACATTAACATGTTAGTAGAATTTTTTAAATATTTAAGATGTTAATTTTCTAAGAAATAAATAATTAATTTCTTAATTTCACATTAAAAGTTCCAATATATAATATTGTATTACCGCTGAGGGGTTTTATATTTTTATAGCCAATATATGTATTTGCACTGCTGCTTTTAAAAGTCTATGGATGTATGTTTACAGCAACCTGTTCACATGGCAAACCTACAATGCACTGTTCATAGTGCGGTGCCTGTGCAAGTACTTCATAGAAAATATGAGCGAGGAAAGTGTCATGAAGCAGTTTAATGCTTGGGAAAAAACAGGTGAATTGTCACACACTTGTTCTGTTGAAATGGAAGTATGCGTATATGCACTGTTCATGCGCGAGAGCATATATATAATATATATTTTCTTGTAAATCCAAATATTAGTTAATATTAATTATGTGCCTTAAGTGATATAAAATATCTTATATTAATTTATATGTTTTATATAAGTAGATGCTGCCTTACATTTTAAGTTCTGGTCAGGTCTTGTGATTAGGTTTAAATGTGTGTGCAGTTCAATTAGGCCTATTTCTTCTCAAAATCATTTGTTCATCAATAATCAAAAATTAGTGTTCAGAGTAAATATCAATGCATTTGGTGACGTGTCTTTACGTGATATTTAAGTTATACTTCTGTAATTTGCTTGAATAATCTTATATTGTGCAGTTTATATATATAGATATATATATATTATATCTTGTACACTGTGCAGCCTATTCTGGTTAAAAAAATACGATATTAAACTTCTCTTAATGCTCATAATATGCCAGATTTTATTAGATTTCATTTCTTGTCTTCTCAGCTCAACAAGGAACTCTAGAGGAAGAGAAGGACAAGAAGGAATCTCTTGTGGACAAGCTACTGAATGCGCTGGTCGAGATCATCGTTGATGTCCCCGTTGTGTAAGTGTGCAAGAACATTCTGGCAAGTGATATATTCTAGCAAACTGGCAAGGTCAGTCTAAGGTTAGACGTAACTGTTACCTAGCGTGTCCATAGCTTGCCTATACGTCAGCATCATGGTATGCTGCTGTTAACAGTCAGGTGCAGCTGCTGCACATTTTTTCAGGTGTACGTGTTTTTCTGTAACACCTGTTCAAGTGTTCTATGTATGTTCAGTTCTCAAATTTCGGTACAGGTGTTGTTCTGCTGTTGTTACGCTATAGTACTGTAGAATATCAGATGTACCGATCACTCATGTATTGCGTGGATGGATTCTTTAAATCATGCAGGTGTTTGAGTAAGAATTGTGTGCATGCTCTTATGCAGGAATTTCACGTACAACATGACGATGGAAGCAATGAATACGCTCATCATTCTATGCAGTGTGCAGATCTTCAAAGCCCGTCCCACTGCAAAGTCAACCATTTTCAGATATCTCATGCAGGGCAAGTGGTACGTGATTCATATTTTTTATAAACAATATATAAAATTTGATTACACGTGGAAGAATAATCAATATTTATACAAACTGCATGAGGTGAGAGGGTAACAGTAATTGTGTTTTTTAAATATTTTGTGATATCTTATTAAAAAACTATATGCCATTAACATTGAAGAGGTGTAATTACAGAGCTGTATGTCATATGTACATGATAAGCAAAGTAGTGTAGTGTGAGTATAGAAGTCAGTTTGTGATCTGAGTTATGCGCATTCCAGCTCAATACATGCCTGTCTCCTGGTGAAGACCTTGTTACAGCACTATGTGAGGCAGGAGAAGGCTCCAGACGTGTTGCAGACCGGTGGAGGAAGCTATATTATTGGCTTTGGACAGGCTGTCGCTAGTAAGTGCATGCATGCGTGCATTATCATTATGTTATGATGATCAGGCAAGCCAATTATAGTAAATTACTCGAAAATTGTTAGTAACTGTTTTTTCTAACTATGTTTCACAGTTTAAAGAAACTTCAGGACTGAGAAAGAATCTGTAATGACCTTGTAATGTTTATCTAGGATCATCCAAGCATTGTAGACTGAGTAGATTGTAATGCATGGTTATATCTATACGAACACATGTACATACGAACACACGCCACATGCGCACAATGTTAAAATACCATTTAGATCTGTAGTATTCGTGAATCAGAATATAAATAGAATATTCTTGTAAATAGTATCATGAATATTTATAATACATATTATATACTCTATAGTATACATGTGTTCGTGATGTAATGGACAGCTATATAAATATTGAATTAAGAAGAACCAAAGTTATCGTGTGGTCACTGTGGTGCAGTGTTGTACGTCTGTGATCCTTCTTGCAGGTGGCTTGTGGTCCATGCTCACCCTTGGCTATGGGAAGGCATCACCGCAGCAAGAGGAAAGCTTGCGTCTTCCACCACTGTCTAATCATAGCCTTCTTCTGTTACTCATTCTAACCAACCACTGCACGAGTGACAAGAGCCTTCCAAACCCCTACAGACAAGCACTGTTCTCCTTCACTGATTCTCACGGTAGGTGAACTCTTACTCGTCTGCGATGTCATAGGTCCCCATTGCTGTCGCAAACTGGTGGGAAATGATCAAAACGGGAAACATTCCTGAATGTAGACGGATTGCGATCTTTGTCCCGCCATTGTATTGTTAGAGCCACGTGTGGGTTGGTGCCGGAAACGTGGATGGAGACGTTATAGAGGTGCTGATCGAATGATAGTAGTGGACGTAACTGTCAGAATGTTGGTACCCTTTTGCGATTTACACGTTGGTAGAGGATTCTAAGGCGGAAGAGCTTTTCCAGAGTGTTCACTACGGTCCATTCTAGGTCTGTCATTCTACCGGCTATTCCACTCGATGGCTGGGAGAGGTGGCACAATTGAGTTTAGCACTATTCTGTTATCAGCATAGAATTGTAGATGCAAACCAAACCGGCTGTGCAGTGTTACAAATAGCGGCCCATCCATCCCCCACTAGTGCTGCCACATGACAACTTTTTCGCAAAACTCGCTCACTTTTTTTACGGGTTAGATAGTAGAAATCGAAATTCCTTTATTATCAGTACTGGCCAGGGTTCTACAACTCTTTCAACTCTTTCGACTCTTCTGAGACTGCGCTTAACGTGCGCTGTGCGCGTGCGTGTTTCAGAGCAAGGCGAAGCGTCCGCTCCGCTTCAGGCCGTCGCCACGTTCAAGACGGAGTACGCTCAGCTGTTCGACGGTCTCGCGGCGACGCTGGTCGACGACCAGACGACGCTGCTGCTCTACCTGCTCATGCACAAGAACCCGCAGTTCAAGAGCTTCGTGCTGTCACGCACGAGTCTCGACGCCATCGTGAGTGCCTCCTGGTGGCGTGGCGCTTTAGTAGGGCGAGCGTGATTTTTTGACGGGCGTTTTTCCCCGTTTTTTTTCGGATGCGTACCTGTCGAGTCTTGAAAGTCTCTACGCGGCGTACTACGTGGGGAGCGATCTTGTCTTGCGTTGCAGTATGCAGATTAGTGTTCATTTGTCCCGTAGGTGGCGTGAGATGCAAAGCATGGTTTTGCCGAATCATCAAAGATGAAATGATTGTTTGTTTTGCAAAATAGGGTGAAAAGAAACCTGTAATATAATTTGATGTTTGCGTGTATGATAGGTGATGCCTATATTGAAGATTCTGTATGGCAGTCAGGAGAGGAACTCCCATCATATCTACATGGCTCTCATCGTCATCCTCATTCTGAGCGAAGACGACTTCTTCAATAAGGCCATCCACGAAATTGTAAGTCCGCATGGCGCGTGGTGTCACGCGTTCATACCTCGTGGTCTCCCGAAAGCAAAAAAAAGAGGATTTTCCTCTTTCCTCTATTAAATCTATGTATGCAAAGTGACTCTCGGAGTAATCTGTAACATAAAAGTCCTCGAGCGTTGGCACGGGAACCGGATGTGACGATCGAACGTTCGCGTTTTTCTCGCAGAATATAAAGAGCGTGACGTGGTACACCGAGCGTCACATATCGGACGTCACCCTCGGCGGGCTCCTAGTGCTGGTGCTCATCAGAACGATACAGTTCAACATGACGCGCATGCGGGTGAGTCTCTGCTCACGTCCTAGCCAGACGCCGGCTTTGGTTAGCGCCGCTCTGACGTATTACGCATGTCTGCGCGCGTGTGTACATTTACTTGGGGGAGGTGGGGTTAAATTGCGTGTGTGTGCCTCATGTGCGCACGCACGTGCCTGGCGACGGCATGCTTAGTGCTCTGACGTGTTATGCACGTTTGCACGCGTCTACGTGTAATCGGGTTAGATTGCATACGTGTGTCTCACGTGCGCGTGCAAATCTTGGACGATGCGTGCATGCCTATTCGAGTATGTTAAGGTGGCAGCAGCTTCGTAATGATAAGATATAGGACAACGTATCCAACATTATATTATTGTAACGTGGCACGTTTATCTCATTGTACTGTTTACCAAGGTAGTACATTGCGTGTATGAGTGAAGTGGAGGCATGTACCATCTCTAAGGGACACAGCTCCATTGTACTACCTGATACACGATCTGATGCATTACATATTATATTATATACTAGCGGGATACCCGGCGTTGCCCGGGGAAATCAGTGGTGTTACTCAGCTGGTGACCGCTTGGTTGAAAGGAAAATACCCCAAAAAATCTAACTATCTATCTATCCATGCATCCATTCATGCATCCATCAATCCATCCCATCCCATCGCACTGCATCCCATATCCCATCCCAGGGTTCTCCAAGGGGGGCCCCCCCCAGGGTTCCCATCCCATCCCATCCCATCCCATCGCATCCCATCCCATCCCATCCCATCCCATCCCAAACAGTAAAAAATAATAAGAAATCAAAAGATAAAAGACATTAAAAATAAAAATAATAAATAAAAAAAAATACATACTAAAGAGGTAAAGGGAAAAAAAGGAAAAAAAGGGGAAAATAAGTTCCCCAGCTGGGACTCGAACCCGGAATCCAAGTGTAGCGATGAGCCCACTGCGCCATTACATTTATACACCATGGATTCAGACGTGATGTTGTGTGTACGTACGTGACCGCCATCTATTGATCAATAGAATTTTTTATGAAACAGAATGTTTAACTTTTTAACTTTTTTAAATTTTTGTTTTAGCCGGAACCACCTCCCAGACGTGCTGATTCTGAAAATATCTTTAGTTTTCCTCTAGGCTGCGGAGTTCTCTAGTTATGCGTGAACACACTAATTCGGCTGAACAACTTTATATATATAGATTATATATTTACATTACGATGATGGTGGTGATTTCCTACCATAGAGCTGAAAAGTTTACGATATACTCTATACTAATCTAATACCAATCTATACGATCTACTCTGTACTAATAGTTACAAACTACTCGTTTTGACTTGCAGTAGTCTTCGTCGGGTGTAAAATATTCCAACTCCAAAATTCTAACTCCGAGAATAGAGAGTTTTCTTTTGAGAATATTTTACTCGACGAAGACTGCTGCAAGTGAAAAATATTCCAACTTTAATAATTTGTTTAATATAAAACTCTAAAAAATAACTCTAAAATTCCAACTCCAAAAATTCGAGAGAAAATAAAACTCGTAGTCGATCATGCGCCGCAGTGTCCGTGTCGCCCCGCGCGAGTTTTTCCTTCGGATTTATGTAGTTTGAATTTTGAGTTGAGTATTTTAGAGAGAGACTTTTAGAGTAGAGTAGAGTTGAGAAAACATCGTCTCGCCCTCTCAGCCCCACGCGTCTCCGCTCACCCCGAGCGCGTCTTCTTCACCTCTCAGGACAAGTACCTTCACACGAACTGCCTGGCGGCACTCGCCAACATGTCGTCGCAGTTCCAGCGGCTGCACCCGTACGTGAGTCAGCGCATCGTAGGCGTCTTCGAGACGCTCGCGCGGCGCCACGCCAAGGTGCTGGAGCGCGTGCGAGACTGCGTGCAGCGAGCCGACGGCGAGGACGAGGGCGAGGACGAGGCAGGCGAGCAGGTATCCAGGGGTCGCGGGGTCACGAGGTAGCGCCGGAGTGTATGATGTCTGTAGTGGCGCGCGAGCGGTTTGTGGGTAGATGTGCGGGCGGTCAGTACGGATCTGACGATTTTATTGCGGGTTTTTTGATTAATTGAGTGGTTGATTGGTTGATTGTGTGATTTATTGATTGATTTGTTTATTGACTGATTGTGTGATTGATTGATTGATTGATTGATTGATTGATCGATTAGATAGCTAGATCGACTAACAACCATATTAATATAACTTCGGAAATGTTTAAAGTTAATCGCAATGTGAAGGAAACCAGGAAGGTAAAATAGAGGTGTTTCGGTTTCCCTCGGCTACATTCATGGCATGCATAGTTGCACTACCCTCTTCAGTTACGGCACATTTTTCATCAGTGTAATTTAATATAATTGCAATGATGGAATCTATGACTGCGCTTACACTTTATCGTTTATTGATCAATTACCACAAAGTCAATTGATTGTGAAACGATTTTCCAACCATACATTTCTACGGCGAAAATCATCGAACGAAACATCGGCACCGGACGTTGATCGATCCCCCCCCCCCGGTGCGCTTGTTCATAGATGCAGGACCTGGCCATCCTGGAGGAGGTGTTGAGGATGGTGCTGGAGATCATCAACTCTTGTCTCATGCACAGTCTGCAGCACAACCCGAACCTCGTCTACACGCTTCTCTACAACAAGCAGCTGTTCGCACAGTTCCGAACTCACCCAACGTTCCAGGACATCCTTCAAAACATCGACACAGTGAGCACTCGTCTCGTGGTCATTTTTCGTTGTTTTTTTAATCAGATATTATTTATATGTGATTAACCATCGTAATATAAATAAATCGCTGTGATGTACTTTAAATGTGTGTGAATTTGAGTTTTGAGATCGATTCTCATCTAATCAGCAGCCTTGCGACAGCAAATGATCAAGTTCCTGTTATCGTAGGGTTTCTCGTAGCTGCGATGCGTTTCTGTCGACACCGACGCCGTCTGTCGATGGTGAATTTGTAAGGGTTCCGCGCGTATTAACAACCAGGAGTGCATAACTCTTCGTCATATCATCTATTATGAGGAGCTGCTGACGTGATGGTAGTCGCGGTAGGTGGTAGTGAATATTTTGAAAATTATAACAAAACTTACCATTTCAGGTATTGAACTACTTCTCCACTAAATTAGAGGAAGGGGATAAGAACCTCTCCCCAGAACAAGTGTTAGAAATCATACACCAGGGTGCGCTGAAATGGCCTAGGGACAGGTTAAAGGTGAGAAATGATATATCCACATACTAAATACGATATATAAAGTAATATCATATGACTACAATTCATAATTCCATAGTTATAACACATGCCAACTTGGTTTCTAGTCTATGAATTTATTTATTAGCAAGCAAATGTATTATATTTGTGGCAGTAATAAAAAATGCAGGTGGACTGTTTTGGCTGGTTTGGTAAAAAAATTACTTTACATCACACGTAGTTTACAGTAAATCGCTATGCATTCAAATTTTTGTGTTATTTTTTATTAGTTTTTTTTAATAATATTTATTCATACTTTTTTATTATTTTGTAAATTTATTTATTTTGTGAATATGGTTGCCGCCACGATTACGCGAGGCCCTCAACAGTTGCGTCAACATGTCCTTTTGCAGAAGTTTCCGGAGCTGAAGTTCAAGTACGTCGAGGAGGACCAGCCGGAGGAGTTCTTCATCCCGTACGTCTGGTCGCTTGTCTACCAGTCCTCGGACCTCTACTGGAACCCGACCCTCGTGCAGCTCTTCACGTTACAGACGTAACGAAGGTGACCTTCCTCGTCTGTATCTACTGCCGTCGGAACAGATGTAGACTAACAACAACTGAAGCTGTAGCTCTCACCGTCTGATTAAGATAGGCAAATTGTTTTACTTTACGAATAGGTGAGGGAATAATATGAAAAGGATAAGAAGGTAAGCATAAAGTAGTAAGAAGGTAATAGTAATGGTAATAAGAAGGTAACCTACCTCATCGGTATACTGCTATTGGAACGGATGTAGCCCCTGCTGCTGCAACTGAGCTGCAGCGCTCATCGTCTGACTGCGTTGAGCAATTTATTTGCCTTTCAAGTTCGTTCCTCGCTCGGTTGAGGTCTAGTAGTTGGGTGTGATGAGAGATAGTGAAGTAGTGCCGTGTGGTGTCGTTGTGTCTGTGTGGCTGCTAGCTTTCACAGTATGTGATGGTGAATGAGTGCAGTGTGCCACTGACTTGTGGATTAGCTTGCAATGGGGCCACCTCACTCAAATTGCATTACCGTATTTATCAATTAAACTTCCTAATGACGTTTGGTACAGGATTGTAGTCATTTATTACTTTTGAGGAATTTTTATGCAATAAAAATGCCATTGATACTCTCTGTACGTGTGTGAAAGATGTTATCATGAATTGATTGGGATAAATCAAGATGATGAAACTACTCCAAGCAGCAGCAGTGTTTTAATAGTTTTGAAGATGTGTTTGTAGCTTGCCAATTTACGTGCGCGAAATATTTTCGACGTTTCACGTAGGATACTGACGCTCTCTAATGAAGCCTAATGCCTTTGTTGTCATACAGCTATAGCAATCAGCCCTCTGCCTGCTGTAGCCAGGCTATACTATCTGGGCGGGCGTGTCGTTAACAGCTTAAGGCTGAAGGCTCTCGCGTTTGGTCTCTCCCCCATCGAGACAAATTAATCCTTCTTGCTTGATTCGTATGAGTCATGTGTTGGACGAGAGACAGGCATGCATCTCCATGGCTAACCCTCTCTGCTAGGTTTTTTCCCTGCATGACTTAGCAACTTATGGAGTGGATATCCGAGTCGCGTATATTTACATAAATGTGTACGTATTTTTGGTATTTCTTGCAGGCGTGTTATGCCCTGAAACCGGGCCTCTGCTGGGTAGTGCTGCCATCTGGTGTTCACGTTGTGGAACTAAGAGGTGCCATTGGCAAGTCGGATGGTTATCGAACCATGTGGCGAATTTGAAAATGTACGAGACAGAGAGAGGCAGCAGATATCCTTAGACTATTCAGCTTACACATGCGAAAAAAGTCTGTGATGACATGACTATTGTGCGCTGAGGATGTACGTCAAGTATTATCTATATATCTTACAGCACAGATCGTGCTGGTATAGGGCGTACGCAGTGCACGTGTGCCGCCCGGTGGGTCAATATATGCATGTAAGGCACAGACCGTTATCTACTTGTAAATATACGCGCTGCAAGTTCGCAGTTGTAATCTTTAAGGGTGAGGGCCAGGTTGTTTACGGAGGAGCGAGTGAGCCGGCAGCGTGGCGTGGGAGAGCTGCTATGATAAAATGGCGTCTTAACCGCAAGGCCGGATGGAATGCGTGCCCGGCGCGGCGGCGATAGCAGCACCGCACGCACACACACGCCTGTGTGCACACCCTATCAAATAGCCATCTCGGCTGATCGCATAATCGAAGCAATCTTGAGCGTATATGCATTGCATAGCGCCGCGTGTAAATAATGTCTTTAGGGATGATTTAGTAGCATGACGAGTGCTTCCTCTGTCGGTTTCCGGTTGCCCCGGCGACGCGAGATGCTTGATGTTGCGGCAGCGATCGTCGGCGGGAGGGACTAGCGCTTCCCTGCGACACAATTATTTCAATCCGCTGTCGGCGTTTCACGCCTTAAGCTGGGTTTACACTGCCAACTTTGAGTTGCCGAATTGCCGAATTGCCGAATTAGAACATTTTCTAATCTCCTAACTAGCTGCTATCGATCGGTTGGACGTGCAACTTTTGCGTTTACACTGCTGATTGTCGGTTGCGAAATTGCGAAGTTGGTACAATTCGGTAATTTACCAACACAAAGGTGGCAGTTGTAAACCTAGCTTTGGACATGTTTTCAGGAGTAGCGTGATGAACGGATTATGTTGGTGTGCTAGGATTTTTACTCGTGGTTACTATAGTGATTGTTTTTTTCGCTCACGCGGCATCGTCCTGGTTGCATGTGTGGCACGAGTATTGAAATAATTGTTCGCTGTAATAGACCGTAAATCGAGGTAGAAATGTAATCGGAAGTTTTTATGTAATCGATTTCGTTGGAATTTTTGTTTTAATTCTCATCGTTTTTTGTTAATTGCAATATTTAATGCTTAATATTAATTGCCGGGTGACTATTTTTTGGCCACTGGATTTTGCGTGAAGAAACGGAGCTGGTCTTTGGATTATGATAACGGTTGTTACTTGCATAATATAATGTAACACTATAATATATGTAAAGAATAAATTTTCATTCAGATTTATTCCCTTGTTCGTGGTGGTTTCGTTCGAGTGAGCCCGATGTCACTGAGACTGATTGAATGCATTCAACGTATTCGTGTTCATAAAATAGTGCGCCCGCATTTACTCTCGTGTTTGCGTGACCTCCCCCCGGCTGGAATCGTGTGCAATAAGGCTGCCGGATTTCATTAGCATTCGCGGGGAAAACCTGCCCGACTACTTAATTGGTTTATATTGCACTTGAAGGGGTATGTGCATGCTCGTAGAAGCATAAATAGCGAGCCGGCAGCTCGGGTTTTGTCAACGTGCGGTTATGATCCAACACACTGTAAACAATTTCGCTCACCTTTCTCTCCCCGTATGCTCTCGGTTTCCCGCGCCAAGCACCATCACACAGTATGCACTGGTTCTCGCAACTTTGCCACTCGACTTTAATTTTAAAAATAAATTACCCAAACTCATTAATCACGAGTGCATTAGATGACGACTCGCACATGTTTTGTGTGAGTTATTCAAAGTGTATTGGTTACGTGACTCATAGATTTATATGTCTACAGTACGTTGTAGTGTCATATATCCATGGTTTAGCGTCAGTCCACTCGCTTTCGGAATAACCGCACTGGACATAATCAATGTACTGAATCCAATCTATGGTTCAGTGTTGCACAACGCTGAACTCTTCCGTACCTTACTATCACCATAAAACTACGCGCGAAGAGTCTTTTAAATCTTTCAGCGACTCCCCATTTAGATTTTTTGATGATCGTGAGAAAAGAGCCATCTTCTACGGCTTTCCATAGGGCTCTTACCGGCTCACCTTTGCGTGCGCGGCTAGTTTTATTTATAGGTGGCTTTGGCAGTATCGTGCGTGTGTGGTTTGTTTATGCTCGGTTATCAGCCGTGACATGAAAGGCACCAGACGGCACCATCGATGATATCACGTCATCTGGGACTTCACTCACACACCATCACTCTCCTCCTCATCTCTACCCCCAGCCACCGGTTATACACCATCACTCTCCTCCTCATCTCTACCCCTAGCCACCGGTTATACACCATCACTTTCCTCCTCATCTCTCCCCCAGCCACCGGTTATACACCATCACTCTCTTCATCTCGCTCTCATCCACCGGTTACACACACGCTCTCTCTCATCCACCGGTTACACACACGCTCTCTCCCATCCACCGGTTACACACACACGCTCTGCTCCCATGCCACACGGTTACACACTGCTGCTCTCCTCTCATCCACCGGTACACCACACGCTCTCATCACCATCCACCGTTACACACACGCTCTCGTCTCTCATTCACCGGTTACCCACATACGCTGCTCTCTCATCCACTCGGTTTACACCAGCAAGTCAGGACCCTGGGGTACCGGCTCCCTCCTCATCTCTCTCCCATCATCTGGCTCACGCGCGCACGCACATACACCGCTCTCTCCCCACGTACACCCACACGCGCACACACATACACAGCTCGCCCCTCACGCACACCAGCACGCGCGAGCGCACACGCACGGAAAGGGGCCACACGCGCACGCACGTACACCGCTCTCCCCTCACGCCCATCACAGGCCAACAGCGGCACGCACGCACGCAACGTACACCGCTCTCCCTCACCGGCCACAACCAACATGCCACGCACGATATCAGCCGCTCACATAGAAACCTTCACGCACACCTCACATGCGGCACGCACATACACCGCTCACAGAGACGACCCTCACGCACACTCACATGCGCACGCACATACACCGCTCACCCCTCACGCACACCCACATGCGCACGCACATACACCGCTCACCCCTCACGCACACCCACATGCGCACGCGCATACACCGCTTACGGCCTCACGCACGCGCACCGCACATGGCAACCGCTCACAAGAGCTCTTACCACACGCCATGCGCGGCGCCACTCCCGAACCCCCACGCCCCACCCCACCCCCACGCCCTACGCGCCACTTTCTCGCAGCATCTCCCCTGCTAGAGCGTGCCCAGCGGCGGGGGTAACTCCAGTGACGAAGCGTGTGGTGGTTGTAAGCATGTTAAAAGATAAAATGATGGCAGGGGGGGCTGGCGGCGTCTTCGGCGAGACCGCTCTGTTTTGGAGACTGCGCACGCTGCTCGCCAGCATAGAGCCGCTGTGCTACTTCAGGCGTGCACTTTTTCGCTGCCGACTGTCTGCGAGGCGGCGAACTGTTGTTTCTGGCCGTCTTGGCGCTGGGTGCAGGAGGAGGAGGAGAGGCAGGAGGTAGGAGGGGCGGCTGGCGGGTGATGGCGTCGATGCGAGAATCTAGTGAAGGATTGATGATGGAATCTGCTAAAGTCGCGACTTATTCGCGTTGGTTAAGCTGGCGTAGCCGGCATACAGAGTAGTAGTGTGGGATGGCGAAGCATATTGAGTAGAGATGCAGCCGACGTAGAGAAGAGAGAATTTATATACTGGGATGTGATTCGCAGCAAAATACCATCTCCAACTGTGAGGTAACGGCGGCGCTTTGGCTGCTCGTGCTTTTCCTTTTATTATTTATTAATTATTATGTTATTTATTATTATTTTAGTGTGTATTTTTTGTATTTATTTTGCGTGACATTTTGCACAAGGTTTTCTTCACTGTTTCTTTCTCGATCCTAGCCGCAGCAAGCGCTCCTGCTGTGCCTTGACGTTGTTGGTTCCCTGCAGCTTCCTATATATTATTTGCAATGTAATTTGTTGGCTCGTTGTTCGCTGTTGCTGCAAAGATTCCTTGTGCTTTCGCTGTTCATTATTTTTCCGCTATATTTTCTGTGTTTCTGCTTGTTCATTGTTGTCTTTCATACTCTTTCTTGGCGCATTTTTTTTGTTTATTTTTTCTAGTTCTCATTTTTCTTTTTTACATCTATCTTTTTTTCTTTTGCTTTCGCTTCCTTGCTGTTTGCCTTGCTTTGTTCACAGTGTGTAATCTAGCATTCATGTTTCTTTGTTCATTGGTTGCCTTTCTCGGTCTTCCGTTGCTGTTGCGTATGTCCTTGTTTTCTTTACAGATTTTTGTTCCTGTCCATTGTTGTGGCTCTATAACTTTGCCGAAGGTTTTCCTTATTTATTGGTTGTCTTTTCAAGCTTCGTTTTTCCGTACTTCGTTGTTTGTTCTTTTTGGCTTTCTCGTTTCTTATTCATAGTGTTTTGTACCAAGCAGAGTTGTTCCTTGTTTATACTTATGCTCCCATATCTATGCTTGCTGCATTCTGTGTCGCCAAGCTTCACCGATGTTCCTTGTTTTATGTTCTCCTCCCAATTTATTGTTCATGCTGTTGTCCTCACCGTCTCGGCCCCCAACGTCCTCCCATTAGTTGTTGCTCCGCCCGCCTTCTTGCTCCTCTCGCGAACTGATGAACGTCGAGAATCGTGAGACTGGATCTGAAGCCATCAAGTGACGCCGAATCGAAGCGTGCTGGTTCCCGGTCGGCGCGCACCCAGATGGCGGGCGTACGTACCGGCGATTTCGCGCGGCTATAAAGGTCTCCGCGGGGGTGACAAGGCGTCTGTTTCTGTAATGGTCCGGCATCCGCTCGGCGACCGCGAGCACGGAGCGACGAGTCGGCCGAGGTCGGTACATTAGCTTCCTCGGAAGCGGAACGTGAAAAGAAATCTGCGTCGTGCGCGCGGCGGCGGGCGGGGGCGGCGCGGCGTGGGGCCGGGGAGGCATTCCAACTTCCTGAGGCTGCTGCTGTCGGCGCATGGGTCTGTAAGCATTTCTCGAAGGGGCGCGGGGCGGACCTCAATCTTCCGCATTTCCTGCAACTGCGGAGCGAATGTCGGCCCGATAGCGACGTCGGCCAGCAGTTATGAGGTCGCCTGTGGGGCGCAGAGCGCAGGTCTGGAAGATGTCTTCCCACATAGGCCCGGAACCCCAATAAAATCGGTAAATAACCGGAGGATTTGTCGTAGAAACAGGAAGCGTATAAAGCATACGATGGCGGTATACTTTTGTACTTAGCTAATCTACACGCGGTGGTAAGACAACAGTGCTTAGCAATTGCGCCCCTGAGTAGTCCACTTATAAAATGATAGTGCGGACAATGCTTGGAAAGGCGTTTGCTATTGCGGCTCTAACGGCGATAGGCGCGACAGTTCAACGCGGTCGGTACACACATCTGCGCGCGCTTCCACTGACACTGCAACACCGCACCAGCACGCGTACACCCGCACGCAGCACGCACACACACACGACACACACACACACACACACACACAAGCGACCACACAATAACACAACACATAACCATCACACACTACAGACGGCGTGGCAGCGAGCGAAATGCTTATGGCAAACCTTCGCCTCCCCTCCCCCCCTTTCGCTAATTAATGTAAATTGCGAACGATCGCGGGAGTAGCGAAGAGTTCACGGCTGTAGCTTGATATGTGGCGAGACGTGGCAGGGTCGGCGGCGCAGGTCTCGGTTCGCCGACGCCTCCGTCGATCTCGTTGCAGGTAATTTGTAACAAACATCTCATCGTTTCCGCGTGCGCTCGGCGCGATGGTCGCTCTCGAGCGTGATTCACGGAAACCTCTATATACCCTGCATGCGCGGGGAGCGTTCGGCGTCATCGTTGTTGTTTGAGCTCTTTCGCGCGGTTATTCAATGCTGCGATGCTAGAGCTGCAATCAACATCACAAATTGATTACTGCTGCTTGCTGATGCTATACTACTACTCCTACTTACTACTGGCTGCTTGCTGTTGCTGCTCTGCTGGATTGCTCTGCTGCTGCGCCGCGCGCTGCTACTGTTATTGTTGTTGCTGTTTCTGCGGCTGCTGTTGTTGGTGTTATTATTATTATTATTGTTGTTGTTGTTGTTGTTGCTATTGTTGTTGTTGTTATTGTTGTTGTTGTTGTTATTGCCGTTGATGTTGTTGTTGTTGTTACTGTTGTTTTTGTTGCTTGTCTTGTGTCTGTTTTCCGTGCTGTGTCTTGGTGCCGCTGGTGGCTGTGGCGTGGAGGTTTTTAAACATGGGGGTTTTAAAAGTGGGGGGGC